ACATTTTTTCGATATATCATTAATTGTAGTTTTATTAAGTCGTAAAGCTTCGTAGAAACAATGATATTTCAATGATATCTGAATAGTGTTTCAACTTCTTATGTTCTTAATTCCTCATTTATGAATGAATGACCTAAGTTAATGAAAATAATCATAAAGTAGAATTATTCAGTTCGTAGTTCATCTTATGCTCACTAATTCTGGCTTGGTTGGCCATATTGACTAAGGGTGCAACCTTTTCACTAGACAGTCATTTGGATCTAGGAGATGTACAGATAATTTCTCAGCAGCATAGCATTTCACTTTTAACGATAGGATTACTCTCGTCAAGGGATAGGGACTGAACCCATGATGCTTGAATCCATGGTGGAAACACACCTCTCTGTTTAATCCATATCCCCCTTTTAAATATTGTTTATAGCATTTTTTCGCACGGTTATTTTATATTTTCTTATTTTTTATTGTATTATGAAAAGCATTCTTATTAAATTAATACAGATATAAATATACTCCATACAGTAAATAATGGCAAGGTTATGCTGGCGACTGTGCTTCTATTTCGAAAGAGCTCTAGTTCGATAAGCCAACGGAGCGAGTCCAACCATCAATGGTACGTGCTCTTTAAAAACATCGCTGACAAGACTTTACCTGTAAATTGCGCATATCGGTGGGCTGTAATTCATCCACAATATTTGTTTCGCTTTCGCTTCTCTATAAATAAACCAAAAATTCCGTTCTATAGAACAATGAACAAAATATGAAATTCGATTCTAGTTTTGAGAAATATTTATACTTTCTTGTTTCAAAAAAGAAATGCAGGTTTTTCCCAAATCCCTCAGCTTTTATAATTCTTTTCTTATAGTCTAAAGTTAGCGTATTCAGCACCGATAAAAATCATTCATTCTGCTGCTTCTTGTAAGCGATATTAGCATTACAAAAAAAGCGGTAATGATATCCTCGTTAATTGCCACATTTATGATCGAATTAACTGTCGGAACTGAGCATTAGACAAGTCATTTAGCAATTGCAAAGTTATCGACAATTGTTCTGCAACAGCTGGTAAAAGATTAAAAGATTTAGTCATAACATCTCATTTTGTAAATGCATTCCATTCACTTCTTTGTTCTGAAAATTTCTTCACGTTTCCGAACAATATTTTCCTAAAAGTCAAGGTTTTGCACAAACTTTGCCGTGCACGTCTCATTCAGCTGTTTGATATTTCGAAATAAAATTTTATCTTATCAAACTAATGAACAACTGTTTTGAAGTCGATCAATGCAAAAATCTCATATTTTATTCATCAAACAAAAATGCTTTTTCTTTTAATTCTTTGTTGGTCGATGATGAAATTCATTCATCTTCGTTAATTTCCATATGAATTATGTGCGCTTTTTATCGCTGAATCGTTGAATGACACTGAATTTAAGCTAGTTTAGACTCGGAAAAGCATTCAACTTATCAAATCTGGAACAAAATTAAAAATTATTTGATAATCAATTAGAACAAGAAATATTAATTGAGTGTAGATTATAGAGTACGATGGATCTTGATTATCTTTAATCATTTCTTTAAAGCAGCTGATTTCTTTTAATTTAATATATTCCTAAAACTTTCCTGAAATAAACATATCATTAAAATTAAATCCATTAGAAGTTATATCACTGGAAGTGGAAATCTAATGAGTTCAATGATGTTTTTTGTCATTGCTTGTAAAGCAATTAACCGACTTTAATTTATATTGAAGATGTGCTATGATTATTATCCTTCATTTTCTATCAAAAAAAAAAAAACAATCTAAGGATATTTCTGAGCGAAAAGACCCTAAAGTGTTATGAACTCAAGCTATGTATCCTAGCTACATTCTATCTATGCAATTTTTATTCATCTTTGCGTTCAAAAAAAAGTGATCACAGTTTTTGTCGTAGTTTTATTTCGTTTTTCTTATCTTTGATAAAAAGCAAAATATGCTTGCAATTATCATTTCAAAATAATGTCGATTTTTTCCCTCGGATTTTAAACGACTTTAAATCGTTCTAATTGTATTTTTCTAGGGTTTTTTGGAACGTTTTCTATCAAAAACTGCTATTATGGTAAATTTTCTTAGAAAAATGGTCGCACGAACGAAATCTCGTTCGCATTCACCTGTGAAGCGTAGACATAATGACTTGCATCTATGGTCGCATACAGTTAACAATATCAGTGATAGTCCACCATATCCATGCTATAATTTAAATGTGCCACCTCGTTCCAATGTGAGTTCTTAATTCATTCCTTTAACGCTACATTACCCAGCTTAGAAGACCAATTCAAATCTTATAAGTTATAAGATATATAAGATATGTTATATAAGATAAGATTAATGATAAGCAGATTTAGATAATGGACGAATTATCATTGATAATGCCAATATTTTTACCGAAAGATATATGAAAACTTTCAGCGATAGACACTGGAAACTAGATGGTCTAGATTCTCTTTGAAATTTTTCCTAAGAACACTTACCACTAAAATGATATCAACTATTGAAACTTTTTGACAGAGTGCGATTCTATGATATAAAAATCGTTTATATAGAATTTCTCGCATAATTACAGGAATATAATAGTACTAAATAGTAAATAAATAGTTAGTGCTTAATATTTCATTTATGCTACGGTTAGTAATACGATGAATTTTTGCTATAGCGTTTGAAGTGCAAGTGAGTAGCAAGCAAAACCTTAGTTTTTTAAAGATAAATTGGCTCCTATAGGAGACATAATTCGATTTGTACAATTTAGCGGTAATTTAGAAACGCAATTTTAAAAATTTTTGCTTCTTGGGATCATGTGGTAATGAAAATAGAAATAGAAATATAAAATTGTTTATTCTTGGAATCGATATTACCAATTGAAATTTTAATCGAACGAATGTTTAAAATGTTTTTAAAGGATGAATTTTATGGATGCTGTAGACAAAATCAACAAGCAGCGCTAAATGTGCAGCAGTTATCGCTATTAAATCAAAAAATACCGCACCGACCAGCACCAATTTATTCGTCACATTTTACCAACAGCAGGCTCTCACCATCTAACGAAGTAAAATCCTTTATTTTTTGTTTCATCATTCATTGTATGAATACTGCCTTCTCTATCCGATTTAACAATGCATTAATATTCATATAAATTAGCTATGAAATTTTCTATAGGTACCATGTTTTATTGCTGAAAACTTGGTTAATCTTTCAATATTTTCTTATTAATATAATCCTCAGTTAAAACACATTTGTTCCTATAAACATACACATTTCTTCCTATAAATTACCAGTGAAAAGTATCTCATTTCGCTAAAATCGCTAGAACTGTAAGAAATACATTGGATTAAATTAAATAATATAAACTCATTATAGTAGTTTGTTTGTGGTTAATACTCACCATTTCTAATTAGCTCCACTGGTCATTAGGATGAGGCAATTTCGCTAGAAAGTCAGTTGGAATCGAATATATAAATAACATGTGAACTTTAATGCGATAGCACTCAAATACCATAATACGCTGGTAACGTCATAAATCTCAATCGCCCTACTTCACTCGATATATTTTTTAATATTTTTTAGTATTCACTTGGGAGATGAAAGCTTATTGATAGGTTATTTTTTTAAGATGAGATAGATATGTTGAAAAAATTCTGAATGAAATATTTCAGCATGAATTGCAACATTTATCTGCGAATTTAACGAGAACGAACGTTACAACTGTAAGCAGACATTCAAGCAAATCTCAAATATCAGAAAAATCGAAAGACGCCAAGAAGCTTACCGAAAACCAAACGAATTTTGCAGAAATAAACGAGGTTCGGAACTATTTTTGTTCAGTTCGTAAATACTAGTGATTTCATGAGATTTCATCGATTTTGAATATCGTATATAGTGCCGATTCTTAGCGGCAATATTAAGTTTTTACTTTCGTTACTCACAAAGATTTGAGAAAAAATGAATAAAGTTGTTTTGCTCAGAAAGAAAAAGCAATTTATTGTTTTTTTACGATTCATTCATGACAGCTATTAATTTTTGCTTCGGTCAACTTTTTCGTAAATAAATTATTAAGTAAACTCGGGAAATTCTAACCCTATTATTAATTTTTGTAGAAAGATTATAGGTTAGAAGACTGATTGATCCGCATGGAATTGAAAATGCAATATTTGTCCGCTAGTAACACCATTCGTAAATAAGCTGTTGTAAACTGAGAAACTACTTTATCACGGATGATTGCTAGCGAAAAATTTGGATTCTTTTAACACCGATTTGATTTAAAAAATCTGCAAATGGCATAATGCCGTTGAATGAATTTCATCGACTCTTATGGAATTGAATCCAAGATTTTAGAAATCCATTTATATTTCTCTTCTCCAATGATTTACTGGCTTAAATGATTTTCATAGGTTTATCATTACTCGATAAGATGAGAAAAAAAAATCGCGATAGATTTATGAATAATGCGAAAATGCATTTTATTTTTTATATCGTTTTAGTGGGAAATAAGTGATGAGCATCCGCAAATTCGCAAACAGTCCAACCAATCATCCACTAGCCAGAATATTTCTGAACGTGGCTTGATGGAACGCGAGCATCTTCACCAATGTCGTCAACAACATTCAGTGAGACCTCGTTCTCACAGTCCGACAAAATCTCCTTATACATCGATTGATGACAGCCAAAAGAAAAGTAGATCGAAGTATTTGTTTATTTAATTCCTTTGATTTATTAATATTCATCAAAGTACTTTTTTAACAATTTTAAGTTCTGCCATATTGTCGAATCTCGGAAAAGGTTGCACTTCATCACGGCCTGATTCCTCCTCCTTGATGAGAGTAAATCGAAATCCAAACGTTGCTTGCGACTTACCTATTTTTTCAAGCAGTTCTGTGGCGAAAAGATCTCGTATTAGCTCGTGGTACTATCTAAATCAGACGTAGTTGTTGTTAAAGGAAGAACTCATTTGTTTTGTGTGATGATTCAAATTTAAAATCGAGTCACATATTGTATACGAACAATAAGATTTTCATCACAAATATCTTCAAATTGCAGATCACCTCAAAAGAAGACTCGGCATATTTCTACTGTTCTTGATTATCTCTCACCTCAGTGCTATAATGAAGGCTGCTCTGTTGCTCTTGTCGTACAGGTCGAATTTATTTCTTCATTTCCACTAAAATGTAACAGCTTTGTTTCCACTTTTCATACGTTTTTTTTTCTTTCTGATTACTTTAATTTGTTTCAAATTCTACCAGGCTGTTATCGAATTTATGTAATTTGGACAACTGCTGTCGAGTTATTGCATTTGAGGTGACAATTAAAATAGAAATTCGGAAACTCTTGCAACTATCATTGAAAATTCAGACATACCCATTCTCTGCCAAAAGATGCCAATAATTTATAAATTAGAAAAATGTTGGTAAAATATTAAGTGTGAGCCAGTCAAATCATTGATAAATGAACATATGTTGTTTAGTGCAACCTTTTCGTTGATAAATAAGATGATTTTTTTTTACAAAGAATGGCTTTCATTAACTTGCCAATTCAATTGTAATCAGTGGTTCATAAAGGATGAATAATGCACAAAATATTTTATTACTTGAAGTAGTTCAATTTTTTATGTATAGTTTTTCTAAACTTTTAGTTCTTTTATTCTTTTTTTCGCGAAGTTAAACATTAAAACAACAAATAAAGCACAGGAAGTGAGGAAGAATAAAGCAATTAATAAAAGGAAAAAAGCAATTTGTAGTGGAAGTTTTGAACATAGTTTACACTTTTATTTGAAAAGCATTCCCTAATCCCAACTGTATTTTAATTTTTATTAAATGTTCTCATCCGAAAAATTTCAGGATACCAAATTTCTAGTATGTAAGCATCAGCTTTCACATGCTAGTGAATATTTTCGTTTATTATTCTTGGCCAATAATTGTGTACCAATGACAGGAGCACATCAAAATTCATTGAACGAATTTGCGATTGTCGTTTCATCATTTAAACATCCACCTCCATCAACGCAGTTTAAATGGTTTTTAGAATGTTCCATTCAAGCACCGATTGTCAAGGATATTGGTGGTTTGTTGCATTTTGCTGTTAAAAAATTATTGTAGATTTAAAAGATTTTAGCGTAGATTAGGTAAAAGAAGGTTAATGCATATAATCTGCAGAAATTTTGCAAAGAAGATTTATCGTTTTCATTATATGGAAGCTTAGGAACGAAACATCGAGGAAGAAATTAAATTATTTATTCTTATTTATAATATAAATGGTAGATTTAGATGATACTTTGGAAACTTGTATGAGACTATCGAAACGGTTCCAAGCCAAAGGACTCGAAATGGCTTGTGGGCGATACATTCGAGAAAATGTAAGTCCTTCTACGGTTTTAAGTACTACAAAAATAATTTATCGCAAAAGTTTTTGTAGTGGAAAGAGTTAAGTTCTAGGTTAATCGCAAATCACCAATGGTTGCCCTTTGCTGGTTGAACTGGATTCTTAAACACAAATTCGATAAAGCCACCCATGACGCTTGTTTGCCTTGTGTAGCGACAGCTTCCTTGACTTGTTTGGAACAGCATAGAAATATGATTACCGAAAAGTTATTGGCTGATCTACTTGCTGCTAAATTAAGGACATTATATAGTCAGGTAATGAATTATCTAATACTTCATATTTTTGGAAGAATCTTTTCATGCTTTCTGAATAATCTCTTTATCCATTAAGATCTATTTAATTACTTTTTTTTAAAGAGTTTTCATCATTACTGGTTAAACTCGCTCTGTTAGCTTGTCGCACTGGAATAATATGCCAGGGAGCTCCTTAGCGATAGAAATACAGGTGAGTCGCATCACCCGGATTTTTGGACAGGTTTACTTCTGCTGGGAACAGAACCTTAGTATCGGCGCTCCGAATTGAACAACAACCCACTATGCCATCTTATCCCCAATTTAATTACTTGGAGAAACTTTTCTCAAATCAACCTTTAAAAGTTCCATGATGACCTTACAGATCTATCGCATTTGTTTAAAATTAGGTCGACAGGTTGTATTTTTTTAAAGAGCATTCACCATTACTTGTTAGACTCGCTCCGCTGGTTTATCTGGCTAAGCAAATATGCCAGGGAATCTTCTTGGCGATAAAAGTACAGATGAGTCGCCAGCTTCACCCAGGGTTATATTTATTTATAAGTAGAGTTTTTGAAATTTTCGTTTCTTTATTCAATGAAATAATAATAAATCATTATAAAAACTAAATACTAAATTTTTTTAAAATGAAACAAGTGAGATGAATACTTTTTCAATTTTCAAATGTGTCTTAAATGTGTAGCTTAATGGAAAACAACAGAATCCTCATATCTGCTTCTGCATCTGTTGCGAAATTCAGTTTTTGTTGAAGCATATGAAGAAAATGTGGTCTAGCATAGATATGTCGGAAATGTGAGAAAATTAGAAGAAAACTGTGGGGTGTCACTGAATCCCTATTCAACTCTACTGTCATTCCAAAAACAGCGATCTAGCTAATGAGCTTGGGCATAAGGTATAAATCCTGTTAGATTTCATTGCTTTGCAGTGTTAGGTTTATGAAATTCTTCTTTATTACGAGTGGATATTGTTTATCATCCATTTTAGTATAAAATTTTGTTGAAAAATATTGGTGTATATTAATTGTCAACCTCGGGGACCCCAACATATATTTCCTTTATTATTATTGTATAATATTATTACTTTTCTCCTAATAGCTTTGGCTATTTCTGGTTTGGGTTCATTAGTCGCCATGATAAGAGGCTTTCGCAGGGTCACTTGTGGATAAAATTAGAGGCAGATATCAAGTACCAAACCCGAATCTGATTTTTGATGATAAGCTGAAAGGGACAGGAATCGAATCTATGATAAAACTTTAGTCGTTGCAGCCTTCATCCCCAATTTTACGAATCATAATAAGTATAACTTTTTTCCTACTCTACCTGTTGCAAGGATGTTAATGACTAAAGCTCTACAATTAATTATTTAACTTTCCATAAAGTAGAATCATAGTCTTTTTCCTAAAATTAACTTTTTGTTTATGGTAGTGTATTCAGACTGTCAATGTTTTTCAAACGATTCATAAAATGGATCATTTTTTTGTCGATATAGATCGCTGCCCACGCTGTGGACGACAAAGGGATCAAGGAAGAGTACGAGTCCAAGTTATACCATGCAGGTAATTTTTCTCATGAAGAGAATTTTTTTGAGGAAAATATCTTTAATCCTGGCACAACAGGAATTATATCTAGATCCAGTTACTAGATTAATTTAGGATCGCATTTTCATTAATGGGATTTCATATAAGAACATTGTATGTTTTTAATTTCTCATTAAATTCATCATTATTTTTTGAAGAAAAATGCTTGGATGTGAACGATGTTTGAGAGATTGTGGTTGTGAGATAATTGATCAAACTCGCGATTATCAAGCTTTTTATCAATGTAATCACGGTCTCAATCCTCTCAATGATCAAACCAATGATTGCTATTGTCAAATCCCTTTGCTTGCCTCAAATATCAGTAAAATTCATGTTCCACATCTATCGAATGGAAAACTCGATTATTAATTAGTTATTATTTTTTCATCTCTTCGCATATTTTATCAGTCTTTTTTTGACATATTAGATGTATTATCTCTTTTCTAAAAATATTGCAACCTTTCATTATGATACTCTCAACTTAACTCATTTAGAAAGCTGATTAAATCTTAGGTCAGAATTCTTAATACAGTGATATTTAAAAGGTAGACGAGAAATCTAAAAAAATGAGTGAAAATTAGATGGTAATTAGATGGTAATAGTGATTAACGCTGACCATTTTTGGTTAAACTAGCCCTATTAGCCTGCGATTACAAATTTTTACCAAGGAGTTTACGACAAAAGTACGAGTGGATCGCAATACTTTTTGCGAGCAGGCTTTTTAATGACAGGCTTTCTCCTGTCAGGTTCATAAAATCAAATCTCTGAAGATCGAAGTACATACCATTCGACCACATAAGAGTACCGAATAGAGCTGGGCACCTGTATTTCTATCCACAGATCAAGAATACCTCATTGTAGCAACAGCCAGTGGAACGAGCAGAACCAGAAATGGCAAGCAACAATCACTTTTTATTCCGCTATCTCAGAAGATAGATTGATCCTAAGTAAAAAAAGAATGATTAACTATTTTTCCATGCATAAAATTTTGTTTTATTATTATGATTACTTTCCAACTATTTTCTTTTCCTTTTTCATCCAACTGCAGCATATTTAAAGTCGCAAAATGAGCTTAAAAATTATTCAGAGATGTCTGCAATTTGATCTCATTCTTATCAAAAATTTAACAAAGTATTACAAGTAAATAGTTATATTATATTATAAAATTATTATAAATATATAATAATTTTAAAAAATTATATAAATATTAAAAGTAAATAAACATTGTAAAGTAATTCATCATTTTTTGGCTATACTCGCTATACCTGCTACCATTAGGATGAGACAATTTTGGAGAGCCACTTGGGGACAGAAAGCGCATATGAGCTTCCAACACCACGTAGAATTTTTCAATGGCACATCGCAGGAGCAAAAATTGAACCGAGACTTGAAATGATAACCTAGGCTATACATATTTGGCTATACTGCCTCATAAATATTACAAAACAAATTATAACCAAAGATCTTATTAGTTACTAGTACAAGAACAAAAGATGTTAAAAATATTGTGTGGTGCATTCTTTTGAAAATTAATTATTAATATTTTTTACCCCTTTGCCATATAACTTTTCAGTTTCTCTGTTTAATTGAATTCATTTGAATATTTTGTGTTTTTTAACATTTTGATTTCGAGTGGTGCTGGCTAGTCACCTGTACTTCTCTCACCTAGCAAAATTTGTCTGACCTGACAAGGCATTGCGGTGAGCCCAACTAGTAAAAAAAAGACCATGAATTGATTTATAATAATTTATATTATCACTGTATAGAATTTTTGTTATAATTTTCGCTGGAATCCAGTAAATCGTTCGTTTCAAAATTCGTATAAATGCCCATATAATTCGATTATTTTATTATTTGAAAAATATTTTTTCGCTGTGAATCAAACGTTAAATTTTGTTCATTTTAACGAGTATTCCCAGGTAAAAAAACACGACATTTGATTCACTGGGCAGTATTTGTTTGTATACCTGGATGGATGAAAGTCCCACAGGATCTTGGCCTTATTCCCCTCGATTTTCAAGAGGATCTCCCATTTCGTCTTGGGAGGATCTATGCTATATGCTGAATAGATATTCCTGTAAACAACTACTTGATTTTACCTTTCATTCTACGCTATTCCTGGTTGCATTTTTCTGCCACTATTTGTTGATTTGCTTCTGCGGCATTTTTGAACCTAGAATCTGAACCTAGAATCTTGTCTGGTGTGGTAGCTGCCTGCTTCAATGGATCTTGTGCTTAGTGCATGTGCTACTACGATCAAGGCCTCAGTGCTGTCTTTAAAAAAAAATATCGTTAAAAAAAATCGGCCCAGGCTAAACAGCCGTCATTATTTTTATCCTATAAACATATAATCATATAAGACGAATGGAAAAAATAGGCAGAAAATTAAATATATTTTCATTTGACGCAAATTTTATAGCCACAATTAGTAATGCAACAAAAAGGTTGATCGCCATTTGTTCGAGTAAGAAAGTCAGAATCCATACTGCAAGCGTCTGCATGCATTAAAGAGGAATCGACACGATTTATTGCCGCCGTACAACTTGTTGCATTCACTGCTGCGCCTTTAAATTTCATTTAAATTAACTTAATTTTCAACTTAATTTTGAACCAAAAAAACTATTTTGGAAACAAAATTTTCAATGAAACGATTTGTGTATCTAGTACTGCTAGCTAATGTTAATATTTGCATAATTTAAAGGACACACAGAGAGATTATCTCGAACTGAAATATTTCATCGAAGTTGGTTACTAATGCGGAAACTCGTTCTGAACATAAACGAATTTAAATTAAAAATATGGAAAAATCTATTCAAAATCACCATTGATATATTCACTGGATTACGACAAATTCGAATACTTCTAGAAAAAGAATTTGAATTTGGTTCCATGCAACACTTCTGAAATCCAGAACGTGAGCTACCGAGCAAACAACCAGTATAAGCACGTTCCTGATCAGAAATGCTCAGAGGTGTCGGACAATGACCAGGCTTTGCACTTTTAAATGAAACTGGTATTCCTTAAAATTATAGTGAACTATGAAACGGAAGTACAAAAAATATGCACATTGACGACAATTTGCACATGATGGGTTTATTTTTGACGCTTGCATTGTCTTTTTTAATTTATTCTATTGTTATTTTTTATTTTTTTGTTATTTTTTATTCATGCATTAAAATTTAACGAGATAATGAGTAAAGAATGTATTCGAGTATTGCTAAATTTTGATTTTTAATAAATAACAGTTTTTGCCACCTGAAACTGTCTTAGAGCATTTCAATTTATTAGCTACTTCGCATAACTGAGATCCTTGAGGACACATTCCTGTATCCATCATGCAACGATCCAGAACTGATTCACTTTAAAAAAAATTGAAATCCAACAAAACCAATTTTTTAAATTGGGAAAATGATGTTTTAGGTCTCAAATTGTGCACTTAGCTACAAGACCTTTCTTAACCAGAAAAACTCCACCTAACCAATCATTTATCAACAATGAATTAAAATATCCCTACCATAATATTTTATGGGCCCTAAATGCTAAACACTTATAAATCACCAATTTTTAGTGTAAAGATTTTACATTTAATTTTAGTCCTAGTCTTCTAAAAAATTTTAGGTAAATGTACACCTAACCCTTAAGCAAGGATCGTCAACCATTTATCACTTTTAACGTTAAATTTACTCGAGCCAAGCGACTGCAAGCAAACTTGTGATGTTTAACTTTAATTGAACCACAACATATCACTCAACTCTCCTGACTTTTAATACTATTATAGGGAAAAAATAGCACTAATTTTTAATCAAGTTGGTATTTTCAAATTCTCCTATTAGCGAGTAATATTTATAAGAATAAAAATTTTGAAATCTACTCTTGGCATATAGGTGGTGCAGCAGTAATCAAATCTCCAGTGGTAGTCGTAAAAAATTCCAAACATTGAGGATATTTATCCATTCTATCAAGCCAAATCATATAGTCGCACCAACTTCGTAGTTTTTGATCCACCATTTGTATGCGAATCTGATATATTCACTTTTCAGTGGCCGTATAATCAGAATTTGATTTTTTATATTCAACCTGATTCCCACATAATTTTACAATTAAAATGATTATAGGCATCAAATTTGTCAGTTAGATGTTATCTATCGATGATTTGTGCAATAAAGGAATAAGGAAATTTCTAATGAAATTTAAAGAGCGACGGAAAACCTATGGCAATAGAAAGAAGAACCAGAAAAGAACAGCACAGCCATTATCAAATTTTTTTGAGCTATTAGTATCTAATAACACCATTTATACATGGAAAAATACTACACTAAAAATACTACACCGCCACCATGAACAAAAAGTAGTTTTTTTGAGTACCTGTTTCTTAAATGCAATACTAGTCTTATTTTTATGGTAATCAAACATAAATAGTCAGTATATACAAAATCGAGTTCTTTGGAAGCCCAAGTCCAATCTAAGTAGGTAAGTATTTTGGTCACTTTTTTTGGTCAGTTTATTTTCTCATAATTGCATTAAGTGTTTGAAATACTATGAACATTTCCATTTTCAGTGATACTGCAACAGAACTTTAACGCGGATTTGAACAATCCACTTCGATGAAACAAAGAAAGCAACCAATGAAAGTATAAAAACGAAGGTTTTTGGGAAGATTTGTAGGTGTTTTCCCAACCGATTGTTATATTTAGCCAGCACACTCCGTTATATTCCACTAATCCATTTTCATATCGTTCACTCTGGATTGCTGGATTTAGGGAAATAAAACAAAATTTTCTAGATTACTGTGACAAAATCTAGTTAAAATTTCAATTTCTTTAAAATAAATCTTACTATAGATTTGTAATAATCCAGAATACTATTCTTCAAGAACCACTCTCGGTCATTTTCTCTCTATTTTACTAAAAAACTAGCGGCATGCCAATACTCATTAAAAATTCGCGAACAAACCAGTATAGTGTTGTTTCTGACTACATCTGATCCACCAAGAAATGTCAAATTTTATTTCTAAACCAAAATAAAAAAAATCGACCGATTTTTATTTTCACACTTCACCGGAGTTAAACAAATGGGCACATCGCGTTTTTGTTGCCAAACTTGATGCAAAGTTCATGTAACAAATAATTAGGAAGATGATATATATCTACCACAACTGAACCAGAATTAGAAACTTATGTCCTTCATGAAAATCGATTCAATCAAAACTCACCGTTGTGTTAAATTACCAACGGCCACAGAATAAAAACAAATTGCGCCAGCCTATTGCATTTTTTGGTTGAAACCAACATTTTAAAATGAAATAACAATGAAACGATGTGGAAATACAAAAAAAAATGAAGAAATAAAAAATGCTCGGAATGTGGATAACCTCAACAAAATATACTCGGAAGAAACAAAGAAGAGGAACTTAAATTGCGGGAAATTCAAGCCCTCATATCAACATAGGTACATACTACACAAGAGTGCACCGCATTTCCTCAAAAACACCGCTATATTTTAATCCAATTTTTAATTAAAACACTATAAAAAACAACAAATTTTTGTAATGTTACTTAGCTATACATTTCACCACCGTCTTTCACAACTCCTAACAGAAAACAATTTGTGAATCTTTTTTGCAGAAGCTTGAACTGCTTTTCTCTCTGGATACGATATAATCTTCAAAAAATGATATTACTAAAATCCGAACAAATGGTAGTCAGATAGGGCAAAGTCATGACTATAAGCTAAAACTTCACCATTCAATTCTTTGATATTTTTGTAGACGTACCTCACAGTGAATATGAGAGGTAAAAATTTTACCATGTTTCAGCAAGTATTAATGATTCATTCATTCCCTTTATTCCTCACAGATACAGTACAATTTTTCTGAATGTCAATTTGGCCGCTGTTAATATTTCTCGTGCTGATAACCACTTGCATTTACGGTTAAGATATAATTGTACAGCTAGTAAGAATACCTAATTGCCAACCACAATTCGGTTCAAAAGTAATTTATTTTCCAATATTGAAATGAGCACATATTGATATTCTATTCTATCACTAATATTCTTTGATAAGTTAACTTGGAATCTAAACACGAAGATAACGGAATATTGCTTACTAGCCATAACTTTTTCTTTTTTAAGCCATTTAATGCAATTTTTGCTTTGGATTAACTTCGGCCATGCAGCATAGAAAATCTTTTAAAGGTGCACCAGATCCTTGGGTGTCTTCTAAATCAAAACCACTTTTCCGAATTTCCAGATTCTCTTTGACGCTTCCTCACATATATTGCTTTCGAATACATTTCGTTTATGCTATTTATTCGCGTCTTACTATTAAACCACTGGATAAATTTTCCATTATACTTGATAAAATGAAGCGCTATTATCAATAATTATTCTACTTTATAAACATTAGAAATGATTTGCGCTTACTCTTTATAAAGTAGAAAAATAATTTTATTGAAAATTTACCTCATTAAAACGATATTTTGAGAAAATATTTATTAATAAACATTTGAAACCACCCAGAATGGAAAATCTACTTTTTTGTATAATATGTGGTGGGTATAAATGGCATTTTTGTTATTGTCACAGGCACTAACTTGCTGCCGAAATCAGCAGCTAAATTTCGTCCGATTGTTGCATCTTGGCTATCGACATAAGCCATGGCGATATTTTTTTTTAGTGAAGGTGATGGACAGCCTGAGGTCACAAAACCAACCGTAGTTTTGCTGACTGGATCTATCACAGGTATATGACCTAAAAAACTTGAAATTAAATAAATAAAAAAGACGCAAACTTATGAAATAAACAATAAACAATATAAACAATTTTAAATAAACAAACAATAAACAATACAATACAAAATAAACAATACAAAACAATTTTCATTCATCATCAATTATATCTTACTTCTAGGTGCACGATTATAAGAGTCTGAAATCAACCCAACTCGTTTTTTTGCCACATTTTTCTTTTCCATCTGTGATAATATGACATCAGCTCCAGGGAAACCTTTTTGCTGTCGTCGACGTTTGGCTGAAATTTTTCTTCCTGATTTTCCAAATAATAAAAAGAAATTGTCATAGATAACATTGTCTTTTTCACCATAGAATTACTTGAAAATAGAGTAACAGGTGAGTCCCCAGCAGCCACCTGGATTTCTGATATGACAGGTTTACTCCTGTCGAAGACAGACATAATAATACTATTTTGTAATATAAATTATTATTATTGCAATTATTATATATTATTATATATAATAGCATAAATGAGAGAAAAAATAAGAAAAAAAACTTATCGTTTACGATGCACAAACGAATAAGAGATAATCAAAATATCCAAATAATAATAATTTCTGTATCTTGGTGGAACAGTTGGATGAAAGGACCACTCACTAATTGCTATTAATTGCTATTCCTTTATGGAGCCGTTGTGAAATCACCATAAAAAACGAAAGTCCGCAGCTATATGGCAGCGACTCGAGACATGGCCAGTGAGAGTGAAGAATATTAAGAAGCAATCAGCCTTTGACCGTCTATGTGCAAGATACATTTTACGTGTTCGCCGAATGGATAAAACCTCATATGATCCATCTTCGTTCAAATACCATTTGCATTAATAGTACCATCACAGAGCGTCGTCTTCGCTGGCTAGGACACGTTCTTTGTCGCCCATCACAAGAGTTAATTCATATTTCGTTACTTGCTGAAACCCGTGATGATTGGCATCAAAAGCGAGGAGAGTCAATCAAGACCTGGACTGGATACAGTGAGAAAAGATTTCGAACGTATAGGTGGACCAGCAATATATGGACTTAGAATGGAATCGATGGAAAAAGGAATGCTTCCATTACTGTCGATGATGGCATCAGACCGCCCCGCTTACGCTTGTAGCCGTTGGAACCAGCCTAACCAATAATGGTGAGAGCTGTTAGAAGAAGAAGAAGAAATTGTCATAACGATTATTGTTTACAATATAAGAAATAATGATATATTGAAATGAAACAATTTCCTAATTAGAAATAGAAATATGATCTAACAAATAATATATATTAAATATATAAAATAATATATAAATGAATAACCATTCTTTTCCCTTAAATTATATCAATTTACCTTCTATATCTGGTAGGAGTAGACAATTAGGAGCTATCAAAAGCAAGTAGGGCTTGGAGCCCATTAGTAACTATTTCTATTTAAAACCTTAAATCTCGGGTAAAATTGTCGCATTCTACCAACAGTGGACTTAAGCAAAAATGGTGAATTCGAACCATTTATTAAATACTTACATAAAATATAAAAATTTACTTAATATCACCATCAACATAGCCTAACCAGTAATGGTGAGAGCTGTTAGAAGAAGATCACCATCAACAAATGGAAATTAACCGATAACAAATAATAATCCAGCTTCAACAGGAGTTGTATTTTCATCTATATCGTTTCCATATAAACAAAGCCCAGCTTCTAGACGAAGCACATCACGAGCACCAAGACCAGCCAATCGAACAGAAACATCTTTCGAACTTAATAACCCTTCAACCAATTCGTTTGCATACTTAGCATCCACTGATATCTTTAAAGTAACCACTTTATCATCACGCAGATAATAAAACTGGACTATCTCTTAATCATTTCTTACTTAGACGCTATAAGACAGTGAAAATTCACCGCAGGAAACACTGATAAGGCGTATTATAGCTGTAATTAGATAGGCTAAAGATTACATTTGTTACACTTTGCAATCATCCCTAAATCATTCACTGAAACGAACTATTCTGCAGTAACAATGAATATAAAAACTCACTTCGATTCCATCTTCACCGGTATATCCACATCGAGTGATACGACAGTCACGAATGCCACAAACCTCACCGACGGCAGAATGCATAAAATTTAGATCAGCTAAATCAATACTGGTTCTATATTTCAAAAGTTGAGACATTTCTGGGCCTAAAAATTTGGAATAAAAAAGGATGCTCTTATGCATTTCCAAATGAAATAATGAGGAACATAAGCCAAAATTTTGTAATCTAGATAGACAACAAAGAAAAAAATGACAATTTTTGAGATCTTTACAGCAGATGTATCAATGAAAGATGTGACACATAAAACATAAAACTTGAAAAATTCTGCAATAGAGAATAATTAACCTTGCACAGCAACCAATCCACGTCCTTCTAAGGGTCGTATCTTTACATCCTTTCCTTTAATCCGCCACTCAGCCGATTTCTCCTGAAAAAACAATTCGTCGTGAAAATTTATCAAGAATTGATGAGTTAGAATTTAATTCATCAAATCAAATAAATTCAAAAAAATTTTTGAGCGAGTAAGACAAAATTTCATAAAATCGAAAATCGATTGATTGAACATGATAAAAAATGTGAAAAATGCTAGGCATGCAAAAACCAAATTAAGTTAACAGGTAAACAGACGAAATTTATTACCAGTTGGCTAAAAAAAATTATTCCATGAAAAATGAACGTAAAATAAATCAAAAAAATCAAACTGAAAACTTCCACAATATATACCTAAAAGATTAAAAATGTTAGTGTAGAACTAGTAAAAAATTCAAGACTGTAGACAAAATAAAGAATTTCACGATAAAAGAAAAGTTATTTCAACAAACCAACAGATATGGCAAATCCTTATCAATACAACCAGCATTTGTAACCATGTAAATAAATTCATTGTTAACTTTTGTGACAATTAAATCATCTTTAATACCACCTTTCTCGTTTGTAAATACTGACAAACATCCTTGATTCTCCTTTAATCCTTTAATATCTGCTGTTGTTAACGATTCAATAAAATTTATGCTGCAATACCGAATTTACTTCATGGCCAAAAACTATTTTTCAAATTCAACAAAAACTAGTTCAACAGATATTAAACAAAAATATTAATAATTTATGCAAGAAAAACAAAATGAAAAAACAAAATGAAAATGAAAACAAAATGAAAATTAAATAAAAAAGTAATTAAGGATGAACGAATAATGGCGAAGAAAAATTTGAAATTATGAATATCTTAAGTCATTAATGAACATTAATAAACAAAGAAATACTAACCAGTCTTTGCCTATTATATAACTTTGCAACATATGCGACACATCAAAAATGCTAACATGTTTTCTGAAACCATCTTTTGAGTAAAAAGCAAAATTAACTGCGAAATAAATGAAATAATACTCTTGCATTTTAAGCAAACAAAGATCCTAGACCTCACCGTAAATTATCGTCCTTGACCTAAAATAATTTATAATGCTTTTAAAAATTCCAAATGACAATCTAAGTCTTGCCATTAAAAATTTACGAATTGATGAAGCGTAGGCTTAAAAAGAACTGAGAACCATTTTATCATCTGATATCTGATAAATCAGTCATTTTTGGATTTCTTTTTGAAACATTTGAAATTTACATATAAAAGCGGTTCCTCCAATAAAAGCTTGGTTGATAAAAAGGAAGACAAAATTAAAACGCTTTCAAGAATAAATCTGCAATCTATCCAAAATAGGTTTGGATGTATAAAAAATACCGACTCTGAATACACTTTTCTTAAAAGAGAACAGAACCTAGTATGAATGCTTGATTCGGTGATTGGAAAGTTGGCATATTGAACGGGCATCATGTAACCAGCAAACGGAACGAATTTCGCTGAATATTTTTCATGTAGGCTATATAGGCACGTCTTCTTACTGAAATTCAATCTGTAATAAACTTTGCCGTAATAAACTTCGAACTTTCTTTGTTATTTTTAGTTACGCAGTACAACAATCAATCATTATCGTTAGACAGGCACAACTGGTTGTCTCTGTTCTTTTCTGTTCTTTTGCTTTCCATTTTGGGTCTGATTACTTATTTTATAATTTCTGTGAGATAGTGTAGAAAAACAATAACGCCATATCGCATAACCAAAAAGTACTTCTTTTGCGGGCGCTTTAAATTTAACAAAGAACTTTTAATTAAACTTCATATTGGAAAAAAATAACTAACATGCTGCCAAAACGCCTTTCCATATGATATAAAAACAATGGAACTCGCAGATATCTTAACAGCATTGTAGTACTGCACTAACAGCACTGAAACTTACAATTGAGCAGTTTTTTTCACTAAATCTGCCAACATATCACTATACATTTATCCTTGTATCCAGATCCTTTCCTCTTTCTCCATTGGGGGCCTTCAGTGACTGAAGATCTTGGGAAAGTGCCAATAAAGCAGAAAACGACTCAGCAAATTTGTATGAACATATGTTTTATCCAAAAAGAATATAAAAGATATGTAATGCAAAATTAGCAGAGAAAATTTTTTTTACTACCAAAATCTTCAGTTAAGAATCAATAATACTTAATATGTTCAACAGCGGATAAGTTTTTTTTCTTCCTTAAAACTTTATTATCTTTAAATTTCTCCTAAATCTAATTTAATTATCTCTATTCTCTTCTTTGACAGGAGTAAACCTGAAATGTTAAAAATCCGGGTGGCTGCTGGGGACCCATCTGTATCTCTATCCCCAATTGACTATTACGTCATAATAATAATAATAATTTATAATAACAATAATTAAAATTACTAAAATTACGAGATAAGTACTCAAAATCCATCAATGGAGGCGAGAACCTATCCGCAAACACTTTGTAAGCGCGGTAAGGTACTGGCTAAAACTGTCTGGAACGTCAAAACTTTTACGGACGTTGCAAGCAAAGTGATTATTCTCCATATCCTATCTGAATACAACGTGGATGTGGCTTGTTTGTCAGAGATCAGCCTTCCTCATGTCGGCTCTCGATTAATTATTAAACCTGGTTCCGAGTAAAGATATTGGCTATATCACAGTGGTGTCTCGGATAACTCGGGGCGAAATGGCGTAACGATTGCCATGTCTAAAAAGGCTCGATCCGCTCTGATTGAATGGTACTTAGTAAACCGTATGACTGCGTATGACCGTATGGCCTACGCGCGTTCTTCCGAGGAAAAGTTCTACAATATTTCGGTTATCAGTGTATATGCTCCAACATTATACGCAAATGACCGCGATAAGGATAAGTTCTATGCGGAACTTCAATTATTACCATCTCTACCTAGAGATGACATGGCCATAATCGGGGAAGACTGGAATGCGAGCGTAGGTCATGATGCCATTATGATGAATTCAGTAACTGGCAAATATGGCATCGAGGTCCAGTGCACCAATGGAGACAACCCAAGATAACCCAAGATCTTTCAACTATCTCAAATTAAAAAATCCTTGAACAATAAGCGCATTTCGAACCATATTACTGAAACACCTCAGCAATGCCTCGAGAAGGGGTTAGTGAAATGATACGGGATATTAATAGGGTGCCTATTAAAGATTGCCTCAGAAGAAGCGAAGAATTTTTTGAGGCCAAACTTAACCATGATGCACCATCTATTGTCCCGAATATAATTGATTTGCCCGTTGAACTGTTATTTGTTATTAAATTCTTCTATTTAGGGCAAGAATTTCATTCTGCATGCACCATCTGTAATTTGCCTGACTTCGTTGATTATTGCTGTGCGACGCCTTCACCGTAGAGTCACTTAGCAGTAGAGTCCTTTGTGCCCTCTCTAAGTCGCCGTTGTAATGTCACTATAAATCGTTTTTTTTTCTAAGCATTGCTTTCAAGCTGCTTATACAGTCACAGTTTGCAAATACTATTGAGAGAAATTTGTTCTTTATCTGTTACAGTGAAGGTTATGTTAAAATCATGCGATTTTTTTTAAAAGTATGGAAGTAGTAATAATGCCTCATCGTTTCGTCACCTCCTTAGTTCAAGCTATTTTGGTATAACCACTTTTATGAGGTTGTGAGGTTACCAGATGCGGAATTCTTTGGAACATCTGTGCGTCTTGTCTTGTCCAAAACGAAGAATTTAATCGAAATAACTAGTGTGGGTATCTTATAAAGTATAATTATATTTGCAGCGATTGATTAAATGTCAAAACATTAATTAATGCTTATTATTAATAAGACGCAAATTATTAAAAAGTGCGTTGCTCCATAAAGCACAGCACTTATTTATAAACACAAGAAAGGCTTGCAGCTATGCACTTGGCCAATGGCCTGCAATAAGAAAATGAATATACATAGCGAGAAGAATACAACAAAAATAAAAAATAATGAAAAAAGAAATAATACCGAAAAACCGAAAAATTTTTTACTAGCAGTTAGCAGTTTAACTTGCATGAATTTTTATCATACTTTACGATACTTTTCATAAATTCATTGCAGGTTGAGGAAATGCCAGATTTCAAATACCTTGGGTCCACTCTAATACCAAATGGACAGGCAAAAGATATTACAACTTGGACCACGTAAGCTAGAAATGCGTTCTTCCGGTTGACGAAACCTTTATGAAATCACCATAAAAACAAAAGTCCGCATCTATATTGCCGTGATCCGTTCGATCTTACTAAATGGTTCTGAGACATGGTCAATGAGAGTAGAGGATATTAAGAAGTTATCTGCCTTGGACCACTCTTGTCTAAGGCACATATTACGGATACATCGAGCGGATAAAATATCA